TTGTATGCTTGGAACAGTACCTGGTATATAGTAAGTACTCAATAAATGTTAGGAGCTATTATTGTCATCATCCATCCATCTGCAGGGAACTCTAGCATATATATAAATTCAGCGGTAGCTAGGACTCAGTATTAACACTAGATATGTAGGGTGATTCCAGAAACACTATCCTTTTCCTCTAGGCTCCAATATATCAGGCCCAGAAAGAAGAACCTACTACTAGAAAAGCAGGTAGCATTATATGCTAGTAGGTATTCAAGTAATCTGTTAGATGAATGAATACAGAAAAACTGGGAGAAAAATAAAAAGTTCTGGGAAATGACTTTTCAGGGCAAACTTATCTTTTCTTCCTTTGGATGATGGTAGAAAAAAGGAAATGAAAGACTGAAAAGACAAATGTTAAATTATAGTACTATAGCTCATTTCACTGTAGTCATCATTAAGGGAATCAACAGAATATTAATTTTTACTCATCTGTCAGTAGGAGAAAATCTAGAACAATTTAAAAGCTAGTTTTTAAATAAATTAGTACGTGGAAAAAAAGAAACGAGAATTTCTGATGGTGATATAATTGATTTTTCTCTGTTTTGCTATAAGGAAGAGATGCAGAGATAGGTAAAGATTTGTCTTCCTATGGAAACATCAAAGGTGTTTCTGATGAAATGCTATGGAATAACTATAGCACAACTTCTATTTGCCAGTGCACACACTAATCTGAAGCTCATTGTGAACACTGGAAAAATTTTACTTATTTCAGGAAACATAAGCATAGTCTCTGGTCTAGGGGTTTATGTGACCCCAATCTGGTCAGTGAGATGTAAAGAAAAGACTTGTAGAAAATTTTTGGGAAAGACTTTCCTCCTTGAAAGAGCTCAATACACAAGAGCATCTCTGTGATCCCTGGTTCCTGCTTTGAGCAGTTGTGTGTGAGGGCAAGATTCTCAGATCTGCTGCAGTCATGACAGAAAAGCCAAGACTGTAGAGATCCACTCCAGCATCTGACAACTTTGAGCTGTAGAACCAATCTTAGAAGAATTTACCTCCATGCTTCCTGCTATGGAGGGAAAAATAAAACCTCTATTTGTTTGGGCAACTTGTTATTGGATGTTTCTGTTTCTTGCAGCTAAAAGCATTTGTAATTTTTATAGGTCTCCTAGATTTATTCTCTAATTTTTCTCATCTTTCCTCTAATATTTTCCATCTCTGTTTTTATTCTTTCTGGAAGATTTCCTTAACTTTCTATCTTACAACATTTGTTTATTTATATGCACACACAGACACAGACACACTTAAATTTTCTGCTATACTATTTTAAGTTCCAAGTGCTCTTTCTTGCTCCCTATTACTTTTCCTTCTTTAGTACAGCCACAAAACAGGAACAGATTACCATATCATCTCTCTGATGTCAATTATAGTTATTTTCAAGTTTCTTCTGCTCTCTGCACTGTTTCCGAGTTCCTTTTGACTATTTCTGCCATTATCTTTCCTGTTAAAAGCCTTCTTTAAATATCTGGTTATTCTTAGTTGTCCATTCATATTTAAGAGCTAAGGACTTGTAAGACGTCAATGCTACCCAAAGCAATCTATAGACTCAATGCAATCCATATCAAAATCCCAATGTGCTCACAGTAATATAAAAATCCATCCTTAAATTCTTATGGAATCTCAAGGGATCCCAAGGAGCCAAAACAATCTTGAATAAGCAGAACAAAGTTCAAAGTCTCACACTTCCTGATTTCAAAACTTATTACAAAGCTGCAGTAATCAACTCAGTGTGGTACTGATATAAAGTTAAGACATATAGACCAATGGAATAGAATAAAGAGCCCAGAAATAAATTCTTGAATATACGGTCAAATGATTTTTGACAAGGACACTTGTCAAAATATCCAATCAGTGGGAAAGGACAGTCTTTTCAACAAATGGTGCTGGGAAAACTGGATATACAGATGCAAAAGAATGAATTTGGACCCTTACCTTACACCACATACAAAAATTAACTCAAAATGGATCAAAGACCTAAACATAAGAGATAAAACTATAAGACTCTTAGAAGAAAACATAGGGGAAAAGCTCTGGACATTGGATTTGGCAATGATTTCTTGGATATGACATGAAAGGTACAGGCAACAAGAGGAAAAATTGATAAGTTAAACTTCATCAAAATAAAGAACTTTTGTGTATCAAAGGACACTATGAAGAGAGTGAAAAGGGAACCCAAGAGAATGGGAGAAAATACTTGCAAATCAGGTATCTGATTAGGATTGATATTCAAATATATAAAGAACTCCTACAACTCAACAACAACAAAAACAAACAACCCAATTAAAATATGGGCAAAGGACTTGAATAGACATTTCTCCACAGAAGAAACACAATGGCCAATAAGCACATAAAGATGCTCAACATCATTAGTCATCAGGAAAATGCAAATCAAAACCACGAGATACCACTTCACATTCATTAGGATGGCTATTATAAAAACAAAGCAAAACAGAAAGTAAGTGTTGGCAAGGAGGTGGAGTAACTGGAAGTCTTACGTACTGCTAGCAGAATGTAAAATGCAGCTGCTAGGGAAAACAGTATGGCAATTCCTTAAAAAATTAAATATAGAATTACCATAAGACTCAGTAATTCCACTTCTGGGTATATACGCAAAAGAAGTAAAATGAGGGATTCAAACATTTGTACGCCCAGATTCATAGCAGCATTATTCACAATAACCAAAAGGTGGAAACAACTAACCATCGAAAGATGAGTGGATAAACAAAACGTGGTATATACATGTAATGGAATGTTATTCAGCCTTCAATAAGAAGGAAATTTTGACACAGGCTACAACACGGATGAACCTTGAAGACATTATGCTAAGTGAAGTAAACCATTCACAAAAGGACAAATATTGTATAATTCCACTAATATGAGATTCCTAGAATAATCAAACTCATAGAGACAGAAAGGACAATGGTGGGTCTCAGCACGTAATCAGTAGACCTGATTTTTCAGTGAAGGGCCTTCAAATATGAGTACCCACAGGTCTTTTCCCTGGGCTGGTCAACTTTCCCCAGGGAGGAATACTGTCATTTCCAGCAAGGCTCCTCTTCATACTATATCAAATGGTATAGTATTTTTCAATGTTCAGTGTTCAATGTTTTAACTCGTGTATATGTTTACTGTCTGTAATAACCTCCCCTGATTAAAATATAAGCTGCTTGAAGGCAGAGATTTTTGTTTTTTGTTTTTAACTGCTATATCCCAGAGCCTAGAAAAGTACAAATATTAGCAGGTACTCAATAAATATCTGTTCAATTAATGAACTGAAAATTTATGGCGCACTTACGTGTCAGGAACTATGCCATTTCATAATTATAAACTCAATCCTTAAATTAACACATGTGTGATACTGTTCCCATTTTACCAATGAGGTGCGATATGGGGAGGTTAGGTAACTTGTCTGAAGAAACTAAGGCACAGCTGGAATTCAAACATACAGTCTGTGTGATTCCATGGTTCATCTTAACCACCACATTATACTGCCTTCTACAGAGAAACTGGTTACTATTTAGTCTTCAAGAATAAGAATCTACATGTTAATGATATAACCTATGAGGCATAGTCTGTTGTAAACTGTCGTAGTTAGGCGTAATGCAAATAGTAAAAAGCCTGAAGAATGTGTGCATGGAGGAAGAAGTCAATGCCTGCTGTAATGAGACAGGGTTATTGATGCAAATTATTGCATCTGAGGGGAAGGGAAAGTCTCCCAAGACACAGAAATGGTTGGCAGAAAAACTGCTGGTTAAGCAAGGAATTACTATTTTCACCAAGATACCTGCTTCCTTATGACACCTTTGCTTGTCCTCCTCAGACATACAAACAAAATAGATAGCATGGGATATTAGAAAGTACACTGACTAGTATTTAGAGGTATCAATTCTAGTTCTAACTGGCAGTGTGCTCTGGGATAAGCCATTTGAAGAAGAGAACAGCTTATTACCAGTTATTTCCAAACTTCCAAGTTTATTTTAGAAATGCAAGCTTACTGTCTGACGAAATTCTAAAGATTTAACTTGCCTTTTAAAGTAATTAGATTACTAAATTAGAAGTTTAGTTTACGTGTCTGTCAATCTATGCATAAAAATCTCTGGCATTTGAAGATAAATGGTAACCTGATCATTTGTAATTTAGGGTTATCTCCCTGTATGACTAGTGATTACAGCTGGAGCCCGCTTTTATAGAGACAGGCAGCATGTATGCGCAGCGCTAAGCAGCATGGGCTGTGGAGCCTGACTGCATAATTCCCTAATAGCTTGTTTGCTGTGGAACCTGAGACACTTACATAAGGATACTAATGCCAAGAAAGCTTATTTGCTATTATAATAGTAACTAGTACCTCATAGGATTGAAAATAATGACTAACTCTATAAATTTACAATGATGCTCAAGGCTTGATACAAAAGCCTCAAGGCACTATTAAACAGTAAAGCTAAGCAATTTTGACCTATCTAAATATTGTAAATTTTATCTATAAGGAAGCAAAAACCTGAGACTCGTGATGTCTTCAAAGGAACAACTGATGTACATGTGGGAAAAAGAAAAAGGAAGGAAAAACCAAGTTGGGGAGAGAATTCGTTCAGGAAAAGAGACAACTTACAAAATTCTCCCCATTTTCTAATATGGTAACTAGTTTGCTGACCACCACAACAGAAAGCTTTCTCTCTCTTGTTTTTTTAAGAAGTTTTTTTTACCAGAGTAATATTTTGAAGTTTATATACAACTTCTCCCTTAAGGGAGTTTTGACATTTTTCAAATTACAAAATATCACATATTTATTTTAACCAGTGAAACAAGATTAACAAGTATAGTAAAGACAAAGCTAATTCTTTCTTCCCATGTCTGTTTCTAATACCACCTCCTAAGATAACCAATATTATCAGTACAAATGCTTTTTATAAGTTCATTTTTTCTTTTCAAAATTACAGATATGATAATCAAAAGCTTACCTCCAGATATATTGATGGTGGATTATGCTCCCCACCAAATTTGTCCAATAGGGCCTCTATATGTTCCTGTGTCAATTTAATCATTTGTTTGATATTCCATACCTAAAAAATATTTTAAAAGAATTTACATAAAAATGATTTAGGATATGAATTAGAAATATTTTAATATTTCTATTAAAATAGTGCAGTAACTGCCAGTGTTTCTTGAAATTTAGAGCTTAGAGAACTTAGAGATCATTTAATATAGTGGTTTTCCCCTTTTATTATTAAACATCTTCAAATTTTTTTCTATACTAGTAATACAATATATTCTCAACTATAAAAGATTCAAATAACATATGAGTATTCATAATAAATGATGAAAATCTCTTTTCACCTTCCCCATATTCCTGGGCGCCCTGCCAAAAGTATTGTTTACAGTTTGGTATGCATCCTTCCACATCTCCTTTTTATTCAAGTAAAAAACAAATACATACATATATAAAAAACAAATCATATAAATATTACATATAAAAATATTTTTAACAATTGCTTTTTCACTGAACGTGCCTCAGAATTCTTTCCATGTCAATACATACACATATTTTACTCCTTTTAAATGGCTGCATAGGCATCCTTTTAAATGGCTGCGTTAAGTATAGATACATTCATTTCATAATAATGCTATGACACTGCTTATTTCAATGGTCTTCAAGCTTCAAGAGTAACCTGAGGTTAGGAGGACATGGATAACTTTAGGAGAATCAATTTCCAGATCCTTAGTGTCTATTTGTACTCTTCCTAATTGATCTGCTTTAAAATTAGTTTTCCTTTCTTCCTCTCCTTTTAAAATCACCATTTTGTAATTCTTCACTTTATAAAAGAAAGGCAAAGTACTTATCCATCTCAAATCCTACTAAGGTGCACCGTTCTGATACGTATAAACTCCAAAGTATCCAACAAATAAGAGAAGAGCGAAAATCCCTTGAGAGAAAAGGTGGAAAAAAATGAAGACCTTTTTTTAATCAATGAAACAAATTCTTGGCAAGCCTCCAAGTCTTATCCATTTATCCAGCCAGCCTAGAATTTAGAAGTCTTGTGGTTACAATACAGGCACATATTAACATATTTATTTTAAGATAAGTAAGAAGTCAGATTTTTTTTTTGTTGATGAAAAATGAGTCCAATTTATCTGAGCAGTTTGAGAACCTGCTTTACAAATTACACTATACAGTATATACTCTCTATAAATTGAAAGATCTAAACCTGCAATTTCAAGGTGTGACCAAAAGGGGACTTAACATAAATATAATACACACTAGAAATTATGGTCTTTTAAACTACTTAAAGTTATAATTAAAAAATGTGAGATAATTTAAAAATGCACAATGGGTATAAATGAGCAAAGGGGTTTCAGGACCTTTGGTTTATTTCATAATTCCCTTACAAGAGGATATTTAGATTATTGTAGCTTTCTCCACTTCAAACAAGGCTTCAATGAATAGTCTGAACTGCCTTTCTGGGAAGGGTGCAAGTTTTCCTTTTATTATTGAGGCATAGGATTCCTGAATTGAAGGATATGCACATTTAAAAAATAAATATGCCAAATGGCCTTCCAAAAGAAAAAATGTACCAAGTCATACCCCTATCCACAGGGTATGAGTCTACCCTTTTCCCACAATCCCACCAACATCAGGTATTATCAAACTTCTAAATTTTTACCAATCTTAAGGGGAAAAGATGATCTTGTTGTTTTAATTTGTATTTCGCAGAAAGTTGAGCATTTTTCATGTATTTGGCCATTTAAGTTTCTTTTTGGAAAATTCCCTATCCATATTCCTTCTCCCTTTTATTCTATTTGTTTTTCTTGCTGTTATATAGATACCCTTCATCCTGAAAATTCTGGATATTAATTCTTATTCTCCTACAAATGTTGCATCTTTCCTTGTTTTTCACTTTGTCTCTTTTGTCATATAAAGTCTTGCTACTCAAAGTGTGGTCCATAGACCAACAGCAGCATAATCTCCAATAAGTTTGTCAGAGCAGCAGAATCTCAGGCCCCATTTCAGACCTACTCAACTTTAACAAAATGATCCATATTAAGGTTCAAGAAACAATGACAGAAGTTCCAAAGTTTTTCTACAGTCAGATCTTACAAAATTTTCCTTTATGACTCCCTTGCTAATATCTCATATCCCCCCAAAAACTATCAGATGTCTTCTTTTCCCTAGATTCACTTACTCCCTAGGTGATGATCTTATCCAGTCTTGTGACTTTATATGCCAAATACGGACTGATGAAGCCCCAATTTTTAAATCCAGCTCTCTCAACTCTATACTTTTTTTGTCCAACTGCCTACTCAACATCTCTACTAAGATAATAGGCACCTCAAACTTAACATGTTCAAAGACTAATTTCTCATTTGCCAGCATCCCCCAAAAACGTGTTTTTCCTATAGTCTCTTCATCTCAGAAAATGACGAACTCCATTCTTTAAGTTGCTCAAACCAAAAGCTTTAGTGTTATTCTTGACTCTCTTTTTGTCACACCTGACATCCAATCCATCTCCAGATCAAAATATATGCAGAATCAGACAATTATTCACCTTCTCTACCATTATCACTCTGTTCCAAGCCACATCGTTTCTCTCTTTATTCCAATAGTCTCTGAGGTGGTCTCTCCTGTTTCACTTCTAGAACGACACAGTAGCTAGGGTAATCTCTTAAAACTATAACTTCAGATCATATGGCATTCTTCTGCTCAAAACCCTCCAACAGCTTCCCAAGCAAAAATCACCAAAGTCCTTACAACAGTCTACAAAACAACAGGGCAATAGAAAATGTTAAGATTGGTTAGGTAAGGCAGGATCAGACCATGAACGTCTGGAAGTCAGATTTCTTATCTTCCCAAACAAAAGTAATTTTATATCCAAAGAATGAAGAAAAATCACTAGTCGTAGCTGGAATTAGAAACAATTAATCTGGGAGGGAAAATTCTTTCAGATTTCCCCAGAAGAGTAAGAAAACTGATGATACTTATAAAATAGAAATATATTAAAAAGTAGACTAAGATATTATAAAGTTAACAGTAGATATATACTTTTGGCCTTACAATGCCTTCTTGGAAAAACAAGAAAATCTCTTACAGCAATCATAAAAGAAAAATGAAAGAATTAAAAACAAAAACAAAAAACTTCAAGAAAGGTACTAGAATATTTCCTGTTTTGATCTCTTTAGTAGACTACAGCAATTAAAATTAGGCAATCTCAGTAAACAATTGATCATTTCTGATCTTCAAATTGCAAGATTCTCACTCCAAAAAAAGGTTGTTTTTTTTTTTTTCTTAAAGCCTAGCTCAGAAGATGCCTATGTGAAAACATAAATGCAGACAAACTGCCATGGAAGGAACTGTACGGTAGCAACAGCACAAAAGAACTACAGCCACTGGCTCCCCTCCACCCAATAAAAAGGTATGAGGTTCAGATTATTATATGATTGGTTTCTACCAAACCTTTAAAGAAAATGTAATATCAACTACTAATAGGTGATAGTATAGAAAAAAAATCATCCAAATTCATTTTATGAAGCTGGCAAAATCTAGATGTCAAAACTTGACAAATACAAAAAAACCAAACCACAAAATAATCCACCCTGTAAGAATAGACCTTAAAAACTCTTAAATATATTTCAGTACTCTCTCTATGTTTTTTTGTTTTAAGCTTTTATTTTTTTCCTTTTTCTCTCCAAAGCCCCCCGGTACATAGTTGTATATTCTTCGTTGTGGGTCCTTCTAGTTGTGGCATGTGGGACGCTGCCTCAGCGTGGTTTCATGAGCAGTGCCATGTCCGTGCCCAGGATGTGAACCAACGAAACACTGGGCCGCCTGCAGCGGAGCACGTGAAACTAACCACTTGGCCACGAGACCAGCCCCTCTATTTTTTTTTTTTAATCAAGGATAGTCATTCACTAGGAATCCAGTAACATAATACTTAATATTAATAGGTCAAAGGAGAAAATTATGAGACTAGTCTAATAAATGCCAAAAAAAAAAAAGATCATTACCAAAGGTAAAAAATTTTAAAAAGAGAGAGACATTTCCTCTCCTACAATTTCAAGAAAATTGTTAAAAGAATCATGGTACTGAAAGCAAGAAGGCCAAAGCATCAGTAATTCAGTGGAAAAAATTCTGAATAATTCCTGTAAAACAGAGAATAAATATAAACAGCTTAACAAAGAAATCAAAATCAATAAATCGCAGACCAAAACATAAAAGGAAGTTTCCACTGAGATAACTCTAGATCTCCAATCTTAAAGACAACATACATAAAAAGAAAGCATGAGGAAATTATAAAGACCTGAATTTGGAATCATATAGTCATTAAAATAAAACCTCACTTGAAGTCAACAGATTAGAGCTGAAAAGAGAATTAAAGAACTAGAAGATGATTCACAGAAAATTAGCCAAAAGGCAGAGAGAAATGAATGGAAAACATGAAAGACATGAAGAACAGGATTAGCACATCTAGAAGGTAAACAGAGAATGGGAGAGAGATCGGAACAGAAGATGGCCATATTGCCGTATCTCCCATTTCCAAAACAGTTGAAAATCAAAAATACTCAGAGTAGTACAATGAGCCCTGGCCATGATAGCTAAAACTAAATCCACAACCATACAGACTGAAGTGAAAGTGCATAAAAATTCTTAAAGTCAACCAAAGAGAAAAGAAAGACAAATTAGATTGATAGCATACTCCTTAGCAACAATAAAAAGAAATAATAAAAAGAAGATAATGAAATGACTTCAAGGTGCAAAAAGAAAATAGTTGACAACCTAGAAAAAGGAAACTGAACCCAGCACAATACAAAAGAAAGAATGGCAAGGTAGGCTAAATAACAGCCCCCAAGATGTCTACATCCTAAAACCGAGAACCTGTAAATATTACCTAATATGAAAAAAGGATTTTGCAGACATAATTAAGTATCTTGAGTTAGGGATCCTGAATTACCTGGGTAGGTCCTAAATGTAAATCACAAGTGTCCTTATAAAATGGAAATTCGAGATAGATTTTACTACAGAGAATTAGGGAATGTGAAGATCTACCAGAGAAACAGGAAGATGCTAAAATTGCTGGCCTTGAAGTCGGAAGAAGGAACCATGAGTCAAGCAATGCAAGGAGTGCAGCTCTAGAAGCTAGAAAGGTAAGGAAATGTGCTCTAGAGGCAGCACAGCTTTTATGACACCTTGGTTTTGGCCTAGTGAAATCCATTTCAGACTTTCAGAACTGTTACGAGAATAAATCTGTGATGATGTAAACCACCAAGTTTGTGGTAATTTGTTATAGCAGCCACAGGGAACTAATACAAATGGGGAACCTAGACACTAATAAACATGAGGGTAAATCTAAATAAGCAAAGACTATACAAAATAACAACAATAAAAACAATAACTAAAACTAACGGAAGACATTGGCAGCACTAAAGCATTCTAAAACCCATCTATTATTCAAGAAGCAGAATCCTGGAACATCTTGTTGTGCCAAATAGATGTCAAAACAATACAGGAGCCAGCTTGAAAGGACTTCTACTCGTCAAATTTGGGAAATTTTCAGCAAAAAGAGTAAGATTTTAATTATGCATACATAAAAAAACCAAAAATTCACTAGTTCATAAAAACAAAAAGTGTTTGGTGGGAGACATTTGCCACCTACAGTTACATCTTTAAAAAATTAAACATTCATGGAAGAGAATTATGCACTTATCTTCCCTTTTTATGAAAAACTATAGTTATTTCCATTTGAAGTGGGATGCTCTTCTTTACAGAAGAACACCAGCTAATATGAAATAACTGATTCAGGAAAGGATCAAAGGACGCTAAAACTACTAGGTAAAAAGTTGATGGAAAACAGGATACTCACATTGTGTCAAAGTATTTCGCTACAGATTAAACACAAAAGGAAAAACACACCTTTTCAAGGAGAGATGAGGCTTAAAATCATTAGTAGTGGGACAACCTGACAAGTGACTCTTAATGTGATGTGACATAAATGATACATTATCTATCATCCATAAAGTATACTTACAAAATATTTAAATAGAATCTAATCAAACCTTTATACTCAGCTTCTAGTTTAAAACAAACAGGAGATACAGAAATATGCTGAAAGCACCACAATGAAATAAACAAATATGGAACGTGAGACAGTCTATAAGTCATTTACCTTCTCTTTTAAAGTCAAAGCCGTAACAATCAGACAAATCCAAAATGTGGGACATTCCAGGACAAGTGTCCTGGTCCCTTTTAATAAATCATGCCATAGGAAACGAAACAGTGGGTGGTCAGTTCAAGACTACAAGACAACAACTAATTCAATGCATGCACAAGTAGATCTTAGTTCAGGGACGGAAGATAGCTATAAAAAACATTCCTGGTTTAATTACAGAAATTTGAACATGTACTAGATATAAGATTATGGAACTGTTAGTCTTGCTAGATATAAAGAGATTCCAGCCAGGTGAAATAATTTCTTTTCTTAGGTGATATAAATCAAGCAAAATGTTAACAGCTGTTGAACCTAGGCAGTGTAGGTAGTATTTACATAAATGTTCACTGCACTATTATTCAACTTTTCTGTAGCTTTGAATTTTTCCCTAAACTTTTTCTTTCTTTTTCCTTAATGTTAAGCAGTGGCCCTCTTTCTCTTCAACAATGTTTTTTCTCTTAGTCTAATTTATCTGATACTAACCCATCGACATCAGCATTTTACCATTATGTGCCTGGCATGTCCTTTCTCATCCTTTTATTTTCAACCATTGTGTGTCTCCTATAAAAGAATTAGATAGCTTTGTTAGCTTGTTTGGTTTTAAATGTACTCCACTGTGTTTTAACCAGAGAATTCAATTCATTTACATTTTTGCAACTAATTTATTTCTACCATCTTACTACATGCTTTCTATTTACAAGGCCTTTTCTTGCTTTTCTGACTTCTATGAATTGATCAAATTTTATTATTCTTACTTTTACCTCTACACAGCAGCCACATTATAGGTCACAATGCAAGTTTCATAAATACAAAAAATTGTTATCATACAGGACATATTCCTTTACCATGATGCAATTAGTTTAGAAATCAGTAACAAAATCTGAATAAATTTTTGAAAAATTCAACTTTCACTTATTGAAAAAAATGTTAGAATGTTATAAATAGGGATCTTTTAACTTAATAAAGTATATCTACAAGAAACCTGCAGCAAAATATTACAGTGAAAGGTCAAGAATAAGACATTGCTATGATATACAGGAGGTTATAATTAATAGTATGGAGATAAGATATAAGAAGAGATATAAGAATTGGAATGGTAGAGATAAAAACTTATTTGTAGGAAACATGGTATCTGTAGAAAAACCCAAGAAAAGCTATAAACCATTAGAGCTAATAACTACTAACTATAAAGACTAATTTAAGAGTTTAGCAAGATTGGTGAATATAAGATCAGGAATACAAACTTTAATAGGTGTTCCAATGGATCAGCCAGATTCATTTTAAAAAAAGATGACTTTCATAATAGAAACAAAAACTATAAAGAATCTAGGAATAAATCTAGCAAAAGATTTGCAAGACCTTTGAGAAAACACAAAATAATATGCAAGTGCACAAAAGAAGAGTGAGAAGAGACACTCAGATGACTCTAGAGGTTAATTTCCTCTCCTCTTTTGGTAGCCTGTCAAGAAGCTGACTCAACAGGTCTAAGTTCACACCATGCAAGAAAAGGCTGATGACAGCCACAGAGCTCAAGACCCTTGCCCTTTCAAATAAGGCCATTTCATCAGCCTCAAAGCCCCAATTATTACATAGGAGCCCTTTCCACGGTATATTAATTCTAGTTATGTCTAGCCTAAGAACAAATCTACATGGAGATAACAGAGCTCAGGGGATTATTATGCTCTGGTATTTACTTATTTTTTGCCGCTAAATTTCATTTCACATTTACGCCATACAACACATACATGTATGCATGAGCCCTCTTCACTTGACAAAGACTTACATAAATGTTCTTTTATGTGAAGACTCAATATTGTAATGATCTCAATTTTCCTCATATGAACTCAATGCAGTGCAATAAGCAAAATCCAAAGAGAGATGTTTCCCAAAGAATTTGAAAAACTGATTCTAAAATTCTTATGGAAGCACTGTAAAATAGTCTTTTAACTATTTGGAATAATAAAAAAAGTAAGACTAGTACTACCAGACAGCTAGACTTATAAAGCAATAGTATGGTACAGGGATAGACAAACAGAGCAAAGGGATTAAATAGAAAGCTCAGAAACAGAGGAACAGGTACTTATATACATGGCATATGGTTTGCATTGGCATTATAATTTAGTGGGGGACAGGATGAACTATACAATAAATAATGCCGGAATAACTGACTATCCTTTTGGAAAAGATCAAAAAATCCAAAAGAAAAATGGGCAAAGGATTTATGAACAGGTAGTTTACTAAAGAGAATTCAGAATATCCAATAAACACAAGATAAAATAAATAATCTCATTAGTGATCAAAGAAATGCAAATTAAAATGAGAAACCATTTCACACCCATGAGATTGGCAAAAAATTTAGGTCTAATAATACCAAGAGTTGGCAACCATGTACAGCAATAGGTGCTCTTCTATTCTACAGGTATGTATAGTATAAATGTTTGAAAGTAAACTGACATTATCTAGTAAAGCTGAAGATGGGCATTATCCTATCATCTAGCTATTATATTTTAACACATGTAAGACGTATTTACTGAAGCAGTCTTTATAACAGCAAAATACTGGAACGAATTCAAATATTCCCTAAGAGAAACATGGGCAAATTCTGATGTATTTGTATAATGGAATACCACATGTAAGTCAAAATGAAGAACCAGAGCAAATACATTAATATGGATACATCTCAAAAACACAATATTGAGCGAAAAAAGTAAGTTCCATGATATGTACAGCTTTAAAATATGCAATCGATATTGTTTATGGATATATACCCATGGCAAAAATAGAGAATTATGCATGGGGATGATAAATACTAAACTTCAGATAATGTTTACCTCTGAAGAAAAAGCAAGAGGGCAGAGAATGGAATCAAAAATAAGCTTTGATTATCTATAAGGTACTCTGTGTCTACAATTTTTATTTGTTTAAAAAATCTGGAGAGGTGACGTCAGCAACATGGCGGAGTGAGCTCACCCGGGACTCTCTCCCCTCCAACTACAACTGAAAGGACCAACTGAATTCCAACCAAAAAATCCTAATAACATAGAGATCATCAGAGACCCACAGCAGCCAAACAACGGAGGGCGCAGAGGCTGGAGCCGCCCTTGGAGGAGCTGGAATGGGGTAAGAGAGAACTTTGGTCCCTCCCCTACAGACTGGGATCACTGCAGCGGATGAGGGAAGGAGCTGGGGAGGGGCCACGCATCCACGGGATCTTCCAGGACTCCCACAGACCTGTGCAGTGGAAACCCTCTAACGGGGGAAAGCTTTCGCTGGGGGAACCCCATCAAGCCAGGGCCCCGGGAAACCAGAGAGTGAGAGCTGATCAGAATCCAGGTCTGCGTGCCAGAGAAAGTGCCCCTCTTCCCCCAACCCGCACTGTGTGCCACCATTGCTGCTGAAGGCGGAGGGCTCAGAAGGCACTGCTCTCAACCCCCATCTAGTGGCGACAGCCTGTAACTGCAACCGAATATTAGTATTATGCACAAAAACTCTCCTCTACCATCCAGCAATTTATAAAAGCTCCAGACCAAAGGGAAAACAATAAAAACACAGAATTATGTCCTGAGGACTTGGAAATAGGTAAACTAAGTGACAATGAATTCAGAGTAGCTATCATCAAAAAACTCAATGAGGTAAAGGGAAATATAAAGAAACAAGTCAACGAGTTCTGGAGTTACTTCATAAAAGAGACTGAAACTATAAAGAAGAATCAATCAGAAATACTAGAGATGAAAAATACAATGGATCAGATAAAACAGAATACGGATTCCCTGAATGCACAGTAAGACACCAGAGAGGAGCAAATTAGCATAATCGAAGACAGACAGGCTGAATGGCTCCAGAGGAAGAAAGAAAACTAAGAATTAAACAAACTGAAGAAAATCTCCAAGAAATAGCAGACTCAATGAGAAAATCCAACTTAAGAATTATCGGAATCCCTGAGGGCGTGGAAAAGGAAAATGGAGCAGAAAAGTGTGCTCAAAGAAATAACAGAAGAGCACTTCCCAAATCTAGGGATTGAGGGAGAAATGTGTGTGTGGAGGAAGCTTCCAGATCTCTTAGATTTGTCAATGTAAAAAGACCTACTGCAAGGCATATAGTAGTAAAAATGGCAAAAGTGAATGACAAAGAAAGAATACTCAGGGCAGCAAGGCAGAAGAAAATAACCTACAAAGAAACCCCATCAGACTTTCAGTGGATTTCTCTACAGAAACCTTACGAGCTAGGAGAATGGAATGACATATTCAAAACACTAAAGGATAAAATCTTCACCCAAGAATACTCTATCCAGCAAAAATATCCTTCACAAATGAGGGAGAAATTAAATCTTTTCCAGACAAACAAAAGCTAAGGGACTTTGTAGCCAAAAGACCTCCACTACAAGAAATCCTCAAGAAGGTTCTCATACCTGAAAAAAGAAAAAAAGGGAGAAAGGGGTCACAAAACACAGAGTAGGGAGACAAACAGATAGAATCAGAATAGGACAGAAAATATTCAACTATAGCATTAGGATAAAGGGACGGAAATCACCAAAGCAAAGACAATCTTATCACTTTAACGACAAACTCACAACACGAGTTGCAAGAAGAGATGAAAATAATAATTTAGGAGGGGAAGAGGAGAGGGACTGAATCAGTCTAGGCTAAGGAAGTAAGAGACCACCAGAAAATGGACTATGTTATACATGAGATTCTGAATACAAACTTCAGGTAGCCACCAAACTAAAAAACAGAACAGAGGCACAAAACATAAATAAGGAAAAATCTAAGAAACCCAGAATAAGAAACTGCGGAAGTCTATGGGTAGGCTAAAACACACAGGACGAGAAACAAAGGTAACACAGGAAAACCAGATAACGAGTGACAGAATGAGAGCATTAAGCCCTCATGCATCAATAATCACCCTCAATGTAAACGGACTGAACTCTCCAATAAAAAGACAGAGTGGCAAAATGGATTAAAGAACAAGATCCAACAATCTGTTGCCTCCAGGAAACACATCTCAGCCCCAAGGACAAACACAGGCTCAGAGTGAAGGGGTGGAAGACAGTACTCCAAGCTAACAGCAAACAAAAGAAAGCAGGTGTCACAATACTTCTATCAGACTAAACAGATTTCAAAATAAGGCAGGTAAAGAGAGACACAGAGGGCCAATATATTATGATCAAAGGGACACTTCATCAAGAAGAAATAACACTTCTAAATATCTATGCACCCAACACAGGAGCACCAAAGTTCATAAAGCAACTATTAACAAACCTAAAACAAGATATCAAAACTAACACAGTAATAGTAGGGGACCTCAACACTTCACTCATATCAATGGACAGATCATCCAGACAGAAAATCAAGGAAACAATGGACCTAAACAAAAAGCTAAAACAATTGGACTTAACAGACGTATACAGAACACTTCATCCAAAAACAGCAGAATACACATTCTTCTCAAGTGTGCATGGAACATTTTCAAGGATAGACCATATGTTGGGAAATAAGGCAAGCCTCTACAAACTTTAAAAGAATTGAAATAATAACAAGCATCTTCTCCAATCATAATGCTATAAAGCTAGAAATTAATTAGAAGAAAAAAGCTGAGAAAGGCACAAGGATGTGGAGACTAAACAATATGCTACTGAACAAACAATCACTGAAGAAATTAAAGAAGAAATCAAAAATACCTGGAGAGAAATGAAAATGATAACGTGCCATATCAACTCACAAGGGAAATAGCAAAAGCTATATTAAGAGGAAAATTCATCGCAATACAGATACATCTTAACAAACAAGAAAAATCCCAAATAAGCAATCTTCAACCACCCCTAACTGAATTAGAGAAAGAACAAACAAAGCCCAAAATC